GACTACTGCCCCGAGCGCATCAAAGTTGGCTTTCCTAAAGTCAAGCATTTGCACTGTGCTAATTACCCTCCCCACCTTTCTCTGAATAGCAAACTGGATCATTTCATGATCACTGTCCCCTAGCCTCCCTTGTATTAGCACCTACCCCACCAGGTCATCCCCAGAGGCTGACACCAGATCCAATATGGTGTTTCCCCTAGTGGGGACGAGTACCTCCTGCACGAGGTGTAGGTCCTGTACGCACGTCAGGAACTTTCATGAGTGGCTAGATCTGGCCGACTGCTCCTCCCAGTTGATGTCAGGGTAATTCATATCACCCATGACCACAACATCCTTTGTGCGCATGGCCTCCCTCAGCTGCCTGGAGAATTCCAGATCCAGCTCTTCCTCCTGATGTGGCAGCCTGTAGTAAACCCACAGGAAGGTTTACCACATATACTCATCCTTCTGCTTAAATCCCATCAAATAAATATAAAGGCTTTTTAGGCAGTTGTGCATCCTTTTATGATGTTATGTTTTTCTTAAAGCCACAGATCCTGGGCCATATGAGTATGTGAGAATCTTAACTTTAATTAGAAAAAGTATATTTCTAACCAGCATGATTCCTGAGATACACTGCAGTCACCTTTGCACATGTATCCTAGAGGCTCAAAACCTGAGTGTAAATAAACAGAACCAGACATGCATTATTTTATATAAAACCTTGTTTTATTTTGAGCAAATTTCGTGTGTGTGTGTGGGGGGGGGGGGGGCACAGACTTGCCCATGATTTTAAAGTCAGGCCTAACTGTGAACTGCAGTTATGCTGACAGTGGTTTAGCTCTTCATGAGCAAGGTTGAAAGGTGGAATGTGCTCCTAGCAGCAGGAGCTAATTCAGATTGATTTTCCAGAAACCCCAGTCACCAGCTGAATGAGAATATTAAGGCTAGAAGTATAAATTGTCTTGGCAGATCAGCAATCGTGGGGCAGGACCCTGGGAAATTCTCAGAATTGGCTTGTACAATTAACTTATTTGTGAATGTTACTGTGTCACCTATAAAAACTGTTACACTGTAATTGAGGGTCTAAAACATTATAAGTGCATATGCTGTGAAGCTCTGCTGCCCTCTAGTAGGAGAAGTGTTGAATAACAAATTTAAATATTACTGTAACAGGGGCCAAGCCTTGTTACTTAGAGC